GATGAATTAACACCCGCTGACAAAGCACGCAGACTACCTTCGACATGTCAGCCCATCTTTTATTTCTTTAAACACAACCTTCTTGAACTTATGTCAGAATTCGTTTCCACACATTGTCCCTCCCTAAAAAGAGCCTCGTACTTTTTTTGAAATCAAACGTAAAACACCGATCTCACACAAATTCTGTTATGCTCTCGTCAAATTACAGTTCGATACCCCTGAGGCGGCGTCAAGAAATCGAGAACCAAAGAAAACAGTTGGTAGCTAATTCAAAGTCGGGGCGTCGGTGGCGTTCCACTTGTTGGGTTAATTACGAATTTAACATTAAAGTTGAGAGCAATTTAGGTGGTAATGCGTACAAACACTAAATGTCTCGTGATCTACTGTCAAATTTTTTCGGTAGGCAACACAGTATAATTCTCTACATCATTTCCCCAATTCTCACCGCTAGCCTACCCGCCCAATCATACACTTTGTAATAACCATCTCGCGGCCTATGGATATACTTCTGTACAGACCACTTCAAAAAAAAAGCTCGGGTTATGCTCGTACGTAAAATTCGGCCGTCACGGAATAACCAGCGCAGAAAGCTTCCGCACAACACACGTTCCCGACTTAAGACCACACCCACCATCGTCCTGATCGTCGCGCCATGCACTGTCCGACCTCCATACCACTGATGTCGCCCAGATGTCGCGAACAGCTCGCAGAGAGCGTAAGCTGGGACTAATCACCCTCTCACCGGCCCCGTATCATCGCCTCCGTGGCGCCGAAAAGACTACGCTCCCTTTTAACATTTATCTCTTAGGCTCGAGGCAACACCGAGGGCACACACAAAATCTCTACCCACATACTCCTTTCCCTCCCTCACTCCCAACCACAAAAGACCTGGTGGAACCCCACCTCAAGGGACTTCTCGTGGCCCCTCACTCGCTAGTACATATTTTCTGCATGTCTTTTCACGTAAAACGTCCTATCCAGGGGAAATTCCGATTGAGGTCACCAATACACATTGAAGTTCTCCAAGTTAAGCGACTGATGTACTTTACATAAAATTCCGTGCACCAAACAGCAGTTAAGTCTTCGAACCGTTTATCTTTTACCCCCCTCACTGCACGTCCGCCCCCAAGAGGTAGTTCGGTCTCTTGAAACGCCCGCATGTACCTCGTAGTAGAAACGGGCAATTTCCGTCCCAAGAGGTGAAGATCACAAAGTTGTTCGAACAGACCTGTCTGACTACCTTTCAAAATACCTTTGATAGCTCTTCTTTGTCTAATTTTGGTTGTTACCAGACCTAAACCTCGATGTCAAAGACATACTCTGTTTTACAATACAGAAATACAGGAAGACCTCGAAGTCCGGCTTGTCTTGTCCTCCTAACATAAGGACGGTTTTGTCTCCAGTAAAGTTTGTACGTTAGTTTCCTCTGTCTCGTTCTCTCATCTCCTACATCCTACTACCTTGTCATCCTACTTGTCCCACCACTATTTTTCGTCGCCTCTCTCTGCAAATTACACACAAAGCCGTGTCCTGGGTCGAGGTAAAAAATCTGAAGAGGTACAAGAGGGTTACCCTGGTACTTCTACATCAGAAAAGAAACACCGACGTAGACACGACTACTACTGCCTACCCGTATGTCCTCCGATGACATCCGAAGTAGCTAAGGCGTTATCCTGAAGCACGTGTGGTTCAATTCCACAATAAATCTGTTCTACTCATACCTCAGAACACCCGAGTCGTTCGAGTTTCTTCATCACGCTGTGAATGTCGTGAACTCACGAGATCCATTCATCAAAAGAAATAAGAAACGTCGTGTTCTGTTAATCGAAGAAGCGGAGCTCTATCATGGAACATGTGTGTTCCTTCTTCAGTGCCTACTTGCCACTCTCTGACATCCTACTAGCACATGCTAATTCGCCACAACTCTTCCCTCCTTTCATACCTGCTGTTTTAAAGGCCCAGTTTCTGCAGGTAAGTACTGAATCAGGCTGGGGGAACCGTGATTAAGGGTTAAGCCAACAGGCACAGCAGTTCTTTCATCTTCTGCCACAGTGTGCAATTTTGAAGCTGCAGACACGCGAGGTAGGTACATCGTAAAACGCAGCAACAGCTAATACCGACAATATGTTATTATAATTAACGCGGACACATGCTTCTTTCTATTAGGCTACTGCACGCTGCACTGAAGATCACTGTGCACATTATGCGCTCTGAAACCTGTCCAGAAACTATGCAAATGTTGTACATTTACTCAAGGACTGTACTTAAGTACACATTTGAGGGACTTGTACTTTACTCGAGTCATTACATTATTGCTAGATTGTACTTCTACCCCACTACAATTCAGAGCTAAATAGTGTACTTTTACTCCACTACATTTATGTAATATCATAGTTACTTTGCACATTTGGATTAATGATGTGAAATATAAACAACTCTCTAGTCAGACTTTAGTTAAACCTGGAGTAAATTCACAAGCTACCCTGCAGTATACCAAGTCATTAAAACTAGCTTCACCTTTACCAGCTTTGATAAACACATTAATGCATCTATAATGAATTATAATCAAAACACATCATATATTATTCTGAAATAGGCCAATCTGCACAAGTACTTTTACTTTTGGTACTTTAAGTTTTTAAGGTTTGCTCATACTTTTGTACTTTTACTTGAGTAACATTTTGATTGCATGATTTTTATATGAGTATTCCTACACTCTGGTACTTCTACTTTTAGTTAAGCACAATATATATGGGATTAGTTTTGTTTCATAAAGATAAAGCAACACTTTCTCAGAATCAAGCAAAACTAAGATTTTAAGAGAACAAAAACTGAATAAATTTAATTTCAAAAATAAAACTATAAGTTGCAAACAAATCATTTGTGTAATCATGTAAACTATAAATATGTTTTATTTGTTATAACACATCTTTTTGTTTGCAGTTCTCTTTGCTTCTTTCTCAATGATCAGACTTTTGCTCTCGCTGCAGCTCTTCTCGTTTGGCTCCCTCATTTTTTGTTTTCGATTCTGACACAAACGTCCAAGGTAGGCGGGACTTTCAGGGGTGCGTCCCCATTGGCTAT